GAAGCGCTATACACGAAATTTTTCCAACTTAGTCAAGTTTTTAATGTTATTGTCAACATTTGACAGTGTTGAGAATGATAGTACAAATATCATTCTCGACGTTTATAAACGTTGTGAATGACATTTATACTATCATTATCGACATTTATAAAATGTCGAGAATGAAATGACAGGATTCCATGCATTTATCATCTTCTTCAACTTCAACTACCATTTTTGTAAGAATTTATTCCATCATAAATGATATTTTAAATATAGAAGTATATTATCTAGCTAAGTTATTTAAGATAAATTGTACAATAAATATCTACTCAGTGTTTGGATAATTTCATCCATTGAAGGGAAAAAATACCTTATAAAAAATGAGATTTGAATATATATAACTACTAAATAAAACTTATAAAAAAAAAAAAGAGAGTTCAAAGAAATATACCTTCGACCGAAAAATGATGAGAGCTTAATCAACTTCAAATTTCGACGATGGTAAATTTCTTCACATGAAATAAAATGATTTCTTTGGAGTTGGAATCATATACTTCTTTGTATTTGTTAATGGAATTTCTACTTCTTCTTCATTTGTTCTAGAATAATTGATTAAAATCTAATTAAAAATGTAGGCAAGTGGACTCACCTAAGTAATAGCAACATTATTGTGGCTTCACATAAAAGCTATTTGCTCTTCTCAAAAATTGTACCAAATTGATATAAGGGTCTGTTTGATTGCAAAGATGAAATTTGGGTGGAAAGGAAATGAATTTCAGGGAATTGAATTACCTAGAAATTATTTTTCTGGGAATTGTAAATTATTGTGTTTGATTAGTATAATTTTCCATGTAAAAAAGGTTGAAGTAAAAGTATTTTTTGGCGTTCGTTTGACTTTGTTTTATATGAAAATTGTCAATTTAAGGGATATCCACTTCTACCATTGTTCATAGAATTTGTTTCCATTGCCAACAAAAAAAAAGGAAAAAAAAAGATCAAAAAATCATCTATATTTTGGTGTTCTTTTGGCTTTGTTTTACATGAAAATTGTCAATTTCAGGGATATCATCTTTTATAAATGTTCCTAGAATTTGTTCCCATTGCCAAAAATTAAAATAAACAAAAAGCAAAAAAAAAAAAAGGTGGAAAACCAAAAACCACCTACCCCTTAGGAAAATAAAATGTGGAAAATCACGCTTTAAGGTGTTGTATCTAGAAACTCGTGGAAAATTCCCTGAAAAATTTTGTCAATCAAACAGGCTAAAAGTGGAAGTTGGAATTCGAATTCCAAGTTCCATGGAAAATTTCTTGCAATCAAACGGGGCCTAAAATTGATTAATCTTTTCATGAGGGTAAAGTAGACAATTCGATATAGAAATTGGACATTTTTGCAAGGATTATCAAAATATGACACTTTTCAACTCACACCCCTAAAATTGGTCATTCTTGAAAATGCCTCTAAAAAATGTTACAACAAATCTAAATGAGTAATTGGGGCCAAACAGCGGAGTTCTATAGACGAAAAAGTGTACCGCTTTGGAACAACCAAATTTCGCAACTTAACTAAATTCATTCTCCAACAACAATTAAATGTATTTGTTACTCTTAGAAGATTATATTGAATTGAAGAAACTAAGATGAACCATAAATGAAATGTATGGAAAATTTAAAGAATTACTTTCATTTAATTGTTTTGGAACTTATCACACAATGAAAATAAAGTGACCTAGTGAAAAATAAAGAATTCAAGCAAAAACCTTAAAAACACAAATTTGAAATTCACTAGAGAAAGAAAAATCAAAGGGTAATTGGTACAAAACGTCCCTACCTTTCTCGTCTATTGTGAAAAACGTCCATATCTTTCATTTTTTGGTATTTTTGCCCCTATTTCCACCTTTCTTGGTGTTGAACGTTCTTTTCACCAATTTTGGATAATTTTACTCTCCATTAAAATAAAATAAAAGGAAAAAAAAAAAAGGAAACTACAAATAAGTAATTGCAACCACAACCCCCAATTTTTAAAAAATTACAAATCAGTCATAAATATATACAAAATTTTCAATATAGGTGCCAACAATCATGGAACTCAATTTCCGGCACCAAGGCCACCAGATTTTAACACAACCACCATCTCCTCATCAACCCTAAAATCCCCATGCAAATTCTAACCCCAAATCCCAGCAAAATCAAGCCAAAATTTGCCCAAGAATCGCCTCTTATGCACGATATTATTGTAAATTCGACCAAATCCATGGATGTCCATGTTCCATACAACCCACAAGCTGCTCAAGCTCACTAAGACACATCCATACATGTTCCAATTACAGCAAACAACCCAGAAAATCGAGATTTACAACCAATTTTCGAGTCAGCAAACTCATGGCCAACAAAACCATTTTTCGGCAACGATGGTGGGACCTATGATCGCTGACCACCACCACAGGACACTACTCATCATGGCGTATCTACTAGGCATATGGGTCTTCCCCAATTTGGCGTTGAAATGGCTGTTCGTCCAAAAACAGTGAACACACATGGAAATCGGTCTGATCCCCTTTCAATTGGCATCCTCCACGACTCCAATCTACAAATTGCATCAATCAGCATGCAATTAAAGGCCAAATGACGCTGAATATGGATTTAATTGCTTCAATTCATCACCCAAATGCAACAATTTTGGATTTGACCTCACGGAATGTGCGACCGCGTGAAGAGAATAATTCTCCGTCAATTCGCGAGTCTAATGTGTCATAGCATATGAATCAACATGGGTAAACTCAAATTCAAGCCCAAAAAATACTGGGTAATCGTTCAATTTTAGAAATTACAGTACTCGTTTGCCAAATTTTGCAGTCAAATGGTGTTTTTACACACTTCAAGAAGAAGGAATAGAAATTGGATGTCATTTGTAATTTTTTTAAAATTGGGGACTGTTGTTGCAATTAGTTATTTGTTGTTTCCTTTCTTTTCTTTTTGTTTCATTTGAATGGAGGGTAAAATTGTCCAAAATTGGTGAGAATGATGTTCAACACTAAGAAATGTGGAAATAGGGGCAAAAATACCAAAAAATGAAAGGTATGAACATTTTTCACAATAGACATGAAACGTAGGAGCGTTTTGTACCAATTACCCAAAAATAAAAACAAGAAGTTTAATTAATTCCAAGACGTTTAAAACAAAGAATTAACCATTTATTTATAGGGTTTAATCGAAAAACTAGTCCAAAGGAATCAAAATCGTAAAGAATTCAAAATAAATTAAATAACAAAAATAGCACTAAAACATAAAAAAGCAGTTACGAGTCCTACACGAACTCGGATGACTAAAATCCAACATATGTGAGGACAAAAAATTGAGTTCAATCAATCTCGTTATTTCCTTACCAAACAGGTATTATGAATCCAAATCTAAGCTCGAACACAAACCTAAAATTTATTATTTTTCGCTTTTTCAGTCTAATCGAGCATTTTCATGCTACAAGTCAAAAGCACCATCTTGACTATCAAGAACATTGATCAAATTTCTAATTTCAGTTAGAATCTACTCATCATTAATAGACAACATCTTTATAAGCGAAAAAAGTTATAACTCAACCTCTTATCATGCAATATGTCTAGTTTTGGATACCAAATATGGCTCGGAAGCAAAATAGGATTATCGTATGCAAAGTTCAAAAGAAACTAGTTGTACAAATTAAATGCAGTAATGAAAAATAAGTTCAAATGAATCTTAAGAAATAAATAAGAGAGAAGAAAATTTAAACATGAATCAATATGATTTCCACTAGAAAATATAAAATGCTATTAGAAGGTACACTATACATCTTTCTTTCCTTCTCTTTTCCTTTTTGACTGTAAAAGTGATACTACATATCACATAAATTCATATATTGGTAGCACTTGTGATCATCATACCCGCCTTTCAATTATCAAAGCTTTGCCTGTTCTTGAAGTTGTTCCTGCTCAAAGCATCATCAAGTTAGATAATCAGCATTCAATAAAACTCGTCATAGAAAATGAAAACTGGGCCGGGAATATATAAATTTGTTGAGTGGGAGTTAAACTCAAGAAGATGAGAAAGAACACAGAGATCAAGTTATTAAGATGTACAAAAAAGTTGCCAAATCTTCTTGTGGCACGAAAAGAAGTTCAAAATTAATAAGCCAAACATGCTCTAAGAGCATGTACAGACAAGGAAACAGACAAACAAGCACAATTTTTGTAAATGGAAACCCGGTTATGCAAAATAAATTTCCTGGAAATCCTTATAAAGTTATATGATATACTATTCAAACCTTAAATTTGACACACACACACTGTAAATATGGCATACTGTCTACCTTTCCCAATGCAGGTGATTACACGAATTACTTTATCATCTTAATCTTAGAAAAGATGAACAAGATTCTTTCTTCTCAGAGACTTCATAATTGGCAAACACCCTTACCTCGTTTACTATAAATTTCTTGCGTGAAATCTTGGCCTTGTTAAGCATATAGAATCTATATTTTGATAATTTTAACTAAAAAGAAATGACAAGATAAGCTAACCTCTGTCACAAAGAATGCGTGAAATCCATACGGAACTCTCTTGGGCAGTTCAACAACAGCAACGGGATCAGGTGACATCGTTTTTGCATCAATTACATTAACCGCTGACTTTCTGAATAGCATCACGTATGAATTTGGTTAAGGATATTGCATTAGGATTTGCTATTAAAGCCCAAAGTAAGATAATCCAAACCTCACTAGACAGAAAATAAAAAGTAAACAAAAAATTATTGCCAAAAAGTTATCTAAAAGAAATTAGACTAAAATAAGTTTGGCTAAGCTTAAGAAGTTTAGTTTCAATTAGATGGTATTGTATTGGTCAAAATTAAAAATAAGTAAAAATAGTCAAAAGAGTTGCTTTCAAAATCAGCAAACAAGTCTGGAAACAACAGGTTAACTTTTGATTGTGCTTAAAAGTTACTTTCTAGAAAGCAACTTAAAAAGTAAGTTTGACTTACATTTAAGCATGGCAAACAAGCTAAGGGAAACTTCGATTAATATATTAGAGGCAGAAAGGTACCCAGTGTTCTCATCATGTGCGAAGAATATCAAGTAGCCATCATCTTCTTCAGAAGTGGTACTAGGCTGCCGAGGAATAAAGATGGCTTCTGAACCAAATCTTCCAGGTCCCAAATAAAAAATACCTTCAACATTTCCTCCTACTTCAAGCTTTGATTTTCCAATCTCCATTTCCTTGTGTAAATCAAATTTGATAATCCCACTTACCCTAGCAATAGTATCTAGTATTGTTCCATATACATACTGCTGTTTCCTGAATTCCAGAAACATCTATGATTATGCTGATAAAAGCGTGTGAACTATTTCACAGCCTTTAGAAACATAAAAAATAAAGATGGACAATGACTTAGAAAAAGAAATAAAGTCGACAAGTGTTCATTATTAAACATTCAAAAGATAAGTGCAATTGAACAAAAATAGCAACAATTAGATCCAAAATTGCTGAAAGTCATTATGTTTCATGCAATGCAAACTTGTCTGATTCAGCCAAATCATTGACAATTTTGTTTAGATTTACCTGCCAGTGAAGTTTTCATTCACCCTCGGAAAATCTACAGCTGGAGCAGATAATTTTTTCTGCAAAGCTAGTCCATTTTTCAAGTTGAACCTCATCTCATACCTGACAAACACAACTAAAATCGGATACATATTTCAAAGAATAGAAAGGGAGAGAATCTTTAAATTTCATACAGTTCATTGGTGAGATTCTCGAGCCTTTCTTTTACACTGCTATTAACCATGTCAAGATCTGGATTCTCAAGACGACAACTGATGAGGACAACTTCATCTCCTTCTTCCCAAGCATTAGCTGATAAACAATTCAAAGTAAAGATAAACATCTTTCAGAACTGGAAATGTCAAAACAACACAAGATTCTGTTGATACGACTAACCTGATGAACCCGAAAGCTTTTCAATATAAATAATGATCATAAATAAAACTTGATGTCTTCCAGAGCTATGTGAGCTAAAAGTTGTATCCCTCTATCTGACATGCATTTCCATTTCATTTCATTTTATTTTATTTTTGGTGGGATGGTGGGGAGGCCGGGAGGGGGAGAGAATTAGCAGCCTTCTACTGAATGTATAAGAAATGATATCATCAAGAACATGTAGAGTTGGAAGCAACTCGAAGGCACATATGAGATTCTGTTGCTCACCATTGTGGAATATGAAGCAATTTGGAAGCTCAAACCATGTGATTAGTAGCTCATTCTTTGCATATCGTGGAAGGATACCAAAACGAGCTTTTTTTGTGCCATCGAAAGAATATATTAACTTCTTTTCCTTTACCATCTCCTGAAATATGACACTGAATAACTGAGATATAATGATTGAATTCTGTTAAGAGTATATATGTGTATTATATGCATTCTACCTTTCATTTAGTGGTGAGGGAAGTTTAATCTTTTCATTCTATTTAAGTTTTTTATTCTTTTATTTGTAAATGCCTTGTGGAACTACCAACTTTTATTAGAAGACAGCAGCAATACAATCGATGTCTTGAAATTCAAGTCCCAGTTTTCACGATTTGCTTATTTGTACTACAGAGTTATGTTAAATCACTATTTGTTACATTATCATTTAACTTTAAAGAATATTTTACGATTTTTTTGTTAATACAGATTTTTGGAAAACTTTAATTCGATTAAAGGAGTCACTAGAGAAGAGAAGATATAATTTAGTAATCAAGAAATCAATTTCAAGTTCATAATTATCTGAAGCGTATTAGTTTCAAAGTAGTAAAAGTTTCACTAGTATCAGAATTAATTAATGGTACAGATATATAAAACCTTACAGCATCCCTTTTTATGAGTAAGAACTAATATTATTCTCTTAGTTAAAGACATATTGCCATAAAGGGAAAGTAGATAATTATTTGCAGGTAGTTAGAGAACTGAAGTAAAGATTAAACAACATATAGAGAAAGCAAAGCCAATCGCACTAATTTGAGCGGTGGAAATATCAAATATGTAAATATCCCTTTCATTAAGAGTTGAAATTTCTTTGATCAGTTTGTCTGGTAGACTGGTACAGATACAATAAATCAATGGTTTTCTTAAATAGTTGAGAATAGAATAGAGAGAATGGGACAAGCATTTTGATCTCAACAACAGTGTGATAACAAACGAATATGAAATTGAAAATTGGTGGAATGACCCTACAGCACGTTTTATGTCGAATTAATTGGAACAGACATTATGAGCAAAAATCGATATTCTTGCGAAATCACATTACCTTTGGCCTGAAATATAAAGGGAGATCCATAAAAATTGCGTAATTTTCAGTAATGGCAAAATCATGCATCATTACAGGGCCGGATATTGTTATTGGTACTGGATCATGCATTAGCCCATCCTTTGATATAACTCTGTATGTGAGATATGGTGGCGTTTGTGAATAGCCAAATGTAAACATTTCCCCTGCTTAAGAAGTTTTCGTAAGCTAAGATGCCATTTAATGAACAAAGAAAGGGAAATCTATAATTAACTGAATATCTAAATTATTATTTTTTCCGAATACATATAAACATTTCTCGTACCGGTGAACGGGTCAACCTTAGGATGAGCAGTAAATGTATGTGTCAATCTTTTATCGTAGTCCAGCATGCCAATGGTTTGCAGATCTCCATCTTCTAGAACTTTTATTGCATCTGGGCAATAAATTGAAAATATTCAAGCCAAAAATGGATTTACACTAATTCTTGGCCCTCTTTGTTTCCAAAATGCAACTACATGACAATGTTCGATTGTCTCTGGCAAGAGTTCAAGCACCATGCCGAAAGCAAATTAACATTCCAGGTTTGAGATGAGACGTAAAAATGAAAGAAGGCACTTAAAGAGCGTGATAGTCTAAGCTTAAAAATCTACTTCTAAGTAAGTTATTAACAACTAAATAAGTATATTTTAGAGTTTTGACTATAAAATTTATTTTCGGTCAAA